AGCTTTTGCTAGGAAAATTAATGGTGAAATCATGATTGTAAAACCTGTATTGAAATTATTCAAGAAGAACTATTAAAAGATTCTTAGGGCATTTTAAGAAGAATTTTCAAGAAACAATTTTATGTAATCCTTGCTATACACTAGGATATAGAGATTGGTTTTTAAACTAATTATATTCTTGGTTATGGCTCGGATATAAAGTACTAAATTTCATGAACACGGAGCTGAAGACGCACATGGATCAAATACCAAGAACTGACAAACGAAGGTCAGTCCAAATTAAACCATCTAATAGTAGAATAAAGCCAGGTTCAGTGGTACATGACTGTAATTCTAGCTACCCAGAAGGCTGAGGCAGAAGGATCACAAGTCCGTGGATAGCTTGGAAAATTTAGCAAGACCTTGTCTCAAAATAAAAATAAAAAAAGGAAATAGTAGAAGAATGGGAAGGTTGACAATAATGATTCTTGCACACGTGCTCCAATGAGGGTAATTTCAATAGTAAAAAATATGAGACGCCCTTGGGAGAAAGACTTCTTTATAACCTTGCTGGGAAAATCAAGAACAGAGATTATCCTATAGCTCCATCAGAAAATTTATGTCCTCAAAAAGAAACACTTGATTCATTCTGAATAATTACTATAAGAATTAACACAGTCATAATTATAAACTATATTCATAAAATACAAGTTTCTTTTCATAATTTCAGTTTCAAGTCCCAATCAAATGTCTTTAAAACACGAAGTTTTGGAGCCCATTTTAAGGGAACTGACATTAAGAGTTCTTTTCAGGGACCGATTGCACTCAGATAAAGAGCCCAATAGACAACATATCAGCTGGCTCTCTTTTTTTCTCTCTCACCCTCACCCTTTTTGGCTTGGCCTCTAAATCTGAAATATAACACCAGGCATGGTGGCACACACCTGAAATCCCAGCACTCAGGAGGCTCAGGTACTATGACCCTGGGCTGCGTAGTAAGTTCAAAGTCAGCCTGAACTCCATAGCAAGACCCTATTTCAAACAAACAAACAAAAATGAAATAAAATAAATCTAGACTCTAAAAACACAAAGGACAGGACTGTGATGTTACATGTTTCCGATCTTGTTTTTCCCCACTGGCGCACTCCATCAATACTTAAATGTAGTCCTTGACAGTAGCAACTCTCACCCATTTTCCACCCAAATTCACGTGATGGGTGATGATAACATTCAATATATTCTCCCATGGGCAACCCAAGTTGATGGACAATCCTTTCCATTGGGTGTCATTCCTTCCCTTGCCCCCTGACTTGGGATAGCAAATCCGAATGTAAAAGAAGACAATTATCATAGTGTCAGAATCTTCTATGAGGTTCCTTTAACTTTGTACCTTCAAGATTATCTGTAAAATTCCTTCTTCATAACTACTTTTTTTGGGGGTGGGGGTTTGAGACAGGGTCTCACTATGTAGTTGACACTAACCTGGAACTCACTATGTAGCCCAGGTTGGTCTTGAATTCACAGCAATCCTCCTGCCTCATCCTCCTGAGTGCTGGGATTACAGGTATGCACCACCACGCCCGGCCCTTCATAACTACTATTAAAGTCACTTGCTGCCCTCTAGGAGGTATCTGTGATGTTGTCTCAACTATACCATGTCCCTGAAAGTTACAAATTAAAATTAATTTAAAACCTCTCCATTGTTCCACTTTGAGTGGACCTAACAGGAAGCCACAGGTTCGTGTGCCTGGATTAGAGGCTCATTTGAGACTCCTTCGGGGTCAGTGTTTAGAAAGATAGACATGAAAGAGAAAGCATAGTCTGGGAAGGCCTTGCACGAAAGGAAAGCTCATTTTTCACACCCTCAACAACCAAGAGACAAATAGCCACATCCACTAGTGCCTCTTCTCCATAAGAGGTCAAAATCCAGACCAGCAACCTGTGCTCTGACACTGGTCGTGTATTACCATGGCCACACAAGCTATGACCACGGAACTGGAAAAACCCTAACCCTGATTTCTCACTGAGCTAATGAAGGACAGGAAGAGGCACTCGCCTTTCCAGGAATGTTCACTTATGTATTAATTTTTCTCTTGCAAAGAGTTCCAGATTTGTTTTCATTCTTCTCCAGACCAGTACCTCAACTCAACTGGGGCACAATGGTGAAAGATGCAGAAAGGAAACTTGATATCTTCTACATGGATTTCCTCATGTTGGGATGAATTTATACTGAAATTAAATGATACAGAAGTTATAAATTTTAACAACAAGGGGGAATAAACTTTTTTTATTACCTCAAGAACTCCAAAGACATCTTGTGCTATGTTGTCATTTACATTTCACATTAAATTCAAAATATGTTTGAGATGAGCAAATATTTGCTTTAATTTGATCCATCTGTTAAATGAAATACTAAAAAGACAGCTAAATCACAATATTAAATTCAGCAATTTGTAAACAATTTATATATTCATTTGTTCTGAGTTAAAAATGCCCCAAAGCACAAGTTTTATGAAATGCACAAAGTAAATTGCATTATACTAGTCTGATAGATGCAGAACATGATTTCTTCTTCTTTGGTCCATTAATTTATTTCCTAACTTGAATTAATTAGGGAGGGTCCCATTTTTAAAAGTTCTTTGAAACTCATTGGGAGAAGGAGACATTTCCACGAACAGCTTTGAAAACCTACTGCACAGGAAATGGGCTAAATACAAATGGTAAACTTTCCTAAGACACTGTCAAACATTGAGCACCTGATTGCTATTCAGCAATCTTAAGGCTGGGAACACAGAGGGTGATTAACACAGTAGTTGTTTCAAGAGAGAAGGAAAGAGCTAGGAGCAAAGGATAACAGCAGCTGTGAGGACAAACTCACTCCACGCACTTATAATACTAACCCAAGATGATCTCCAAGGTCCTATCCATCTCTAAGTCAAATCTATCATGCTCTGGTTTTATACTGCCAAATGGCAGTGGACTTTAACTTGGAACACCCACTGGGAAAAGAACAGATATATATGCAGATAAATTTTTTTAAATGCAGACATTGGTCAGAGAACAAAGGTAAATCAATCATTTTTCCTTTGATCAAAGGCGACATTAATTCCTCAATTAGATTGAGAGGAATTTCTTTGTTCCGCGGGGGGGAGGGGAGGCTGTGCTGGAGAGCAAACCCAGATATTTGCAAAATCTAGGCAAGCAGTCTACCACTGACCTACATGCACCCACCACAGCCCACCACTTCCTAATTCTTGTCTACCCTCTAATGCTTTATTGCCCTATGAGAGAGAGAGAGAGAGAGAAATTCATCATTTACATTACTGTATATATTACTGCTAACAGTTCAAGGCAAGCCTAAGTAGGTGGGGAATACATTCCAAGAGCTAGCCTTTCCACAAACATTTGAGCTTTAAGCAAGTGCAATATCCATTCCATATTTTGGGCAGCAGCCATGGGGAAACAAAGGCTGAGATGGGCTCAGGGTCCTTCCCATGCCTACAGATGAAGTTGCCTGCCAGGACTTCCTACTCTAGCTTCAAGTGAAGCTGGCCCAAGGGAGCAGCAACACCAGCAGTCTAATCTAGGAAGCACCTTGTTTTGGAAGCCCTGCCTTATTTCACTTTCTCTCACTACAAGCCTACGAACGTCATGGCCAGACACTCTCAAAAGCAGAGTGGGAATCTTGGAGTTGCACTTAACAATAAGATTTTGATCTGCCTCCTCTAAGCCTCCAGTTCCTCCTCTATAAAATGCAAGCATAAAACTACCCAGCATAGCCCCTGCTGCGGCGTAGTAACCAAACTTTCCATGCCCCTGCTCTCATTTTGCTCACTTAGATTAAAATCAAGTCAGCTGTGCACAAATATGCCCGAGGGTGGGAGTAGCACTGATACAGACCCATAGATCCACGTGCCTTCCAATTTTCTCCTCTAACTCCTGCCCCTGGAACTAGTTACTCAGGTTTCCCACACCAAAGCAAACAGCACCATGACTGATTCTTTTTCCTGGCACACCACACTAGCAAGGGGAGAGGGGAGAAGGAAGCAATGTTTGTCGTATCAACTTCTCCTTGATTCACACTCACGTATCCTTGATATTATTTTTTTCTTGTTTTAGCTAAAAAAAATAATACTTTAAAACCCTTGGCTTATACATACCTTGTGTCTACAGTAATCCCTACCTCCCAGAAGACAGGGACAAAGCCCCTCTTTTGAAGGTTTTTGGGACCTTACAGATCCTGGGACTCCCTTGAAATATTCCCTGTAATCCAGAAATGGCCTCAACTTTATACACTTGTATCAAAACAAACTTTGGAAAGCAAACAACTCTTTGCATGGGAATTGGTTACTTTCGACAATCAGTCCAGCCCCACAAATCTGCCAAGTTGCATTTTTCTGAACCGAACAGTCCATACTGCCATGTTTTGGTAAGAAAGTCCACACTGTTTTGGTAAGAAACAGATCTATTGCCACAGAAACCCAAGCTCTACCCCAGGGAAAGAGTGTCTCAGAGCTCCAGTTTCCTAAATCAGGTAGGTGGATCACTCTGGGGGAATAAGACATCAGCCTGGCTTCTCCAAAAGAGAAAACTGGGAACACAAGCTAACTGCCTGAAACAGACTCTCATAGAGTGAGACACGGTGCTCCATTTACCTCTGCAGAACCATTTCACAAGGGACTCTCACCTGCCCTGCATGAACGGTTTAGTCCCTCACATTTCCCACCATTATCATCCCCATTTTACCCAAGATAGTTTTGTGTGACTTGCCCTGAGGTCACACAGATGTGGTTTTCAGACTTCCTGCCTCTTGGTCTGGTGTTCTTTCCTCTATCACCAACCACAAACCCCCAAAATATAAAGCAGAAATGCCAGACACCCAGATCAAGGTCAATACCCTCTGCTAGAACCTTCCACTTCAGTGAATTTAAATTTATACTTCTAGGGCAAGACTTCGGGTAAAGAGGACCACAGGAAATGGCCAGGTGGGTGGTGGGCAGGTCACCCACTCAGGGACTCACTCAGGAAGATGATGATCTGCCTCCTGGCAGTCCGGCTTTCCTCGCTCTCAGCCTTTCTCAGTTGCACCTGCCCGGTCCCAGCCACTGTGCCCAGCTTGCTCCTCATGATCACCTGCATCATGTTCCAGCACATGAAAGTCACAGCGAGCAAGACCAAGAGGTAGAGGACAAATGCACCAAAGATGCTGGACTGGAACACGGTCCAGCGGCTGGAGAGATTGGTACAGATGGACATGTTGGAAGCCTCTGGGTGCTCCTGGTGGCGGTTACGGGAGCGGTTGCAAGGGAAGACCGGGTGAGTAGGCACATGCACCAGGGGGTACTCAATACCCATGGCAAAAAGCAAGGGCAATGCCACCAGGGCAGAGGTGACCCAGACGAAGGCAATCAACAGTTTCACCTGGCAGGGTCCTGACATGGCCTTATACCTGAAGGGGTGACAGATAGCAATATAGCGCTCGAAGCTAAGCGTCAGCACATGGAGCAGCGTGGCGTAGCTGCAGGTCTCGAAGAGGAAAGTGTGAAGCTTGCAGGACAGGGCGTCGCTGGGGGTGGTCAGAGGGTTCCAGATGATGCTGTAGAACTCCATTGGCATCCCAATGAGGAAGACCAAGATGTCGGAGCACGCCAGGCTCACCATGTGATCGGTCACCTCCTTCTGCAGGTAGCCTTTCTTTTGCAACACCTGGGTAACCCGGATGGTGATGCTGTTCCCCAGGATGCCCACAACAAAGATGATCAGGTACACCAGGAAGAGGGTGATTTTGATCCAGGTGGCCACCTCAAATTCAGGGACATGGTCGTGATCGATGATTTGGGAGCAGTCATTGCCGGATTCACTGTGTGAAGCCATGAGGGACAGCCACACCACCAGGTCCAAAGACGTCTGAACTTTGCTTTCTCCTCCCAACAGAAGTTCTTGTCTGCAACTCAGAACGCTGGACTGGACGTAGATTTTCTCTCACTTGAGTTCTCTGGGCAAAAGTAATTTAGCACTTCAGGCGCTTTTACGGACGCTTCCGGGAGCAATCCACTTTAGGAGAGGCCAGAAGTGCCCGGGGGTGGAGTTTGGGGCTGAGAGGGTAGGAGTGAGGCGGGGATAGGCAGCGGAAGGCGGGTCTGACGTCCCCGCCCCTCCGAGGGTACCCCGCAGTCCCGCGCCCCGCTCCCCTGCGCCTCCAGCTCCAGCCCCCTGGAACTTGCAGCCCAGGCCGGCCCTCCAGTCCTTCTCCCGAGCTGCGGAAAGCAGGGTAGTGAGCGGTCAATCATTAACCACAGCAAACTGTACTCTGAGGCCGGACTGCAGATCCAGCCTAGTGGCGGGGTTTGACTCAACACATAGTCACGGTCAGGGGAAGACAGGTGGCCCCACCTCCCCCGCCGCCCTGCAGTTCCTGCCCCGCCAGCCGCTGGGGTCTCTGCCTCTGCAGCCTCCAGAGGGGTGCAGCCCGCGGAGCTGGAATGCGCTCCTGGTGCTTGCGGGCTTGGAGAAAGATACCTTCTCCTCCCCACAACGCCATACACTCCCACAACTGTCCAGGGCCCCTCAAATGCCAGGTCATGGCCACTTTGGATGGCTCGCCCTGTGCTCCTGCCTTCGCCTCCTCTGCCCGCCCAGCCGCCTGGGGAAGCTAGCGAGTGCTCTCCCCAGGTGCTCTGCCTTTAGGGAGGGCAGGGTGTTTACAGAGAAGGAGCGGAATCAGCCCCTACCACGCCAAGGGGATCCGAATAAAATCTCCGACTTTGTGATGCGCGGCCCTTGCCTTGGCTTCCCGCTGGGGACCGAAGAGAGTGGGGTCCCTCCTTTCAGTTTCAGTCTGCCAGCGCTTGAGGCGCCTGGGAGTCTTTAATTGGGACCATGCATATGGATGAGGACGGCGCAGCCTCCTTGACCCGGGAGCAGGGAGCTATGCTCCCAGCAGCCAGGAAGGCCTAGCAGGCTTCGAGCTGTCCCAACAGGGCCACCGCACACAAAACAGTGTGAGGATCAGGCTTTAATGGGCCCGTTTTCATCGTACTCCAAGATCAGAAGGAATGGCGGTAGTCAGAGGGAGAGGGAAGGTGTCCTAGGCCCTGTAAACACCCAGTAGTACACGGTGTCTCCAGACATGGCTAAGTGGGGGGACAGGGGGTGTAAGTCGAGAACCACTGCATTGAAGCAAGAAAACAGAAAATAGATCCCCTCCCCAGCACAAGCTGATGTGAGTCTTGGGGTATCCAGAGGACAGGTGCTTCCCATAGCCACAAAAAAGTGACAGCAAGATGTCCTATATGTGCAACCTAAAAAAAAAAAAGCGAATACATAGCATTGGAATAAGGGAAGTTACCTGGGACAGGGAGGGAGAGGAAGTACGCGACCTACAGGTCAAAGGACAGGAAGTTGTAGCTGTGAGGTGAATAAGTCTAGAGATCTAACGTGCACCAGGAGGACTACAGATCATAGGGAACATTTGCTAAGAGAACAGATTGAGGTGCAGCACTTACACATTACTCTGGAAGGTGGCTGATGCCCAACTATAGAAATAATTTCACTATATATGTCAGAACACCATTGTGTACATCTTAAAAACATACTAGTGGGGGGGGTTGGAAATTAACAGGAATTTCACCCCTGAGCCTACACTCCTATCCCCTAACAGGAGGGGCTCCGGGAGTACAACAGGTGCCACGAAATGTGTCCTGAGTGTTACACTCAGGAATATGTGGGCCATGTTTTCTTGGCAGGAATTCTTGATCTTCTTTTATCTGATTTTCTTTCTTTCTTTCTTTCTTTTTCTTTTTTTTTTTCTTTTCCTGGTATTTAAGATTGAACTTAAGGCATTCACCCTGTGTGGCAACCCAGGCCTTTTCCCTTTTAAAATTCTTTGATACAGTATTGTTAAATTGCTCAGTTGCCCAGGCTGAGCCTGAACTTTTAATCTTTCCACCTCAGCCTCTCAGAGTGCTGGAATTATAGGTGTGCACCACACTGGATGTGGATTATGTAATATTTAATTATCTAGCTGTATGGCCACCAGATCTGTATAATAGCTTCATATGTAGGGTCTGGGATCTATCCCAGGGGTTCCACTGCCTGCCTCACAAGTGCAAAATCCTGAGTTCGATCCCCGGCACCCAAAGATAAAAAAATTTTAAAAAAATAACTTAATCTGTGACTATAGTGTGTCCTCTTTTTCTTTGTTAAATAACAAGCTCCAAAGCCAAGTAATGTATCTTTTAGACATGTATTCTCTGACTCTCCATAGCACCCTAAATAATGTATTTTGCTAGAGGCCTCCCCACTCCTTCATGTGCTATTTGTTTGACTTTCTTGCTAGCAGAGAAACTTCTAACTTACTTCCTGTTGGTGCACTCTTCTCAGCTAACTGCTCTTCTTCTACAATGTTTATAGAGCAACAAGATAGAAAGTGAGTCCGGTTCCTAGATTTTCCTAACTCTATTTAGAACCCTGAAAGGGCTCCTCTACAGAAAGAAACCCCTAGTTGTTTACTATCCCAAACCACTAAGGAGAAGAAGGTCTAAACTGGGTGGTTCCACACACCTGTGGAGGCTGATGCAGGAGGGTTACTGAAAATTCAAGGCCAGCCTGAACTAAACAATAAGTTCAAGGCCAGCCTGAATGATATAGTGAGACTCTTCTCAAAAGAAGAAGGGGTGGGGGAGTCTAGGCCAGGTCCATGGACTTCCAATACACACACAGAGACTTCTGGGAAATGGCACACTGTAAGCAGCAACAAATCAACTTCTCAAAGATTCAGAATCCAGACCCTGGAAAATAACAACTTGGGGAAGGAAAGGAGGGAAGTGGAACCCAGCACCCAGGAAGTATCTGATTAGAGAATTGGAGCCCACAGAGAAAGTGAATAGATAGTCCTCAACATAAAAAAAAAAAAGAAGAGGCAATCTGTACCTTCTCTCTGGGTCCTGGCATGAGAAAGGAGATCGAATCTATAGAGACATAGTGAAAGCAAGTATTTCCAGAACTCCAGGGAGAAAGGAGGCAGTAAAATGGATCATTAAATGCTGTACACTACAACAGCTGAAGAGTGACTCCAGTCCAAGTGACTGCTGGGTGCCATGGAGACAGGGCTTGGTCAGAGCCACTTTAGGGATGGGCCTACTGAACCTGGGACTCAGAGCAGCGATGAGTTGGCTTCAGCTCAGGGCTCCCAGTGATAAAATCCCATGGTGAATGGATGAAGGACAATGATAGAGATATCCGACCACAGGAGCTGTGCTCAGGCCAGCAAGAGACATCCAGAGGGTTATAAGCTAAATGACTCAGGTCCCCGCCCTATGACTAGAGGCCAGGATCACCTTGCATTTCTGTGGATTTGAAAGTACCAGATCCAGCACCCTGTCTTGATCCTACTGCAGGCTTGCTGGGATTGTCCAGCATGGATTTGGACTCTGACTGCCTCCTTTGTCAGCCAGCGAGAGCAGAGTCACACCCTGAATTAGACAGTACCACAAAACTGTAGACCCCAGATGATAATCACAGAATATTTTCTTTCTTTTCTTTTTCTTCACTTTTGAGGTTTTTTGCCCCTTAGTTTGGTTCCTAGTTTTTGTTAGTGTGAACATTGTTTTTATTTTTCGTTTTCTTTTGTTCTTATTTCTGTTTTCCCCTCTTTCTTTCCCTCCTGTCTTCTTCACCAGTTTTCTGAAGCTAGGGTAATCTTCTTTAGTCCTCAGCCTTGCTTCTAATCTCTTTCTCTTATTTCTCTATTTTTTTTTCCTCTTATCACCCTTAAATTTTCTCCCCTGAGGGTAGAAGCTCTCTTTTGAGTGGATATATATATATCTATATATATATATACTATATATAACTTTCTGATTTGTCTTAGATTTTGTTATATGTCTTGCACTTATGATTAAAGGCAGCAAATTAATAGTTATCACAGTTTGTCATTTCCCAGTTTGTGCTATTATTATTATTATTATTATTATTACTGATTTTACTTCTTTAGTCAAGGTCACATAGTTGTTGTGGTCAGTTGATCTTCTTTGTATGCCAATATATAGATTATCTGGGGTCATAAACAATACTATAGTCCAGCACTCTAGAACTTGGTGCTAGGCCAAACAGGCAGTGACTTTTCATCCCTAAGAAATAGAAGAGTCAGGATCCTGGGACAGACTCAAAAGCCAGGTAAACCTAGAAGACATCTCTGAAAAGTAGTCATTTCCTAAAAAGGTCTCAATACTACTAATAAAGCTACTAATGATAAACAACTCACAACACTCAATACAGAAAACAAATTAAAAAAAAAAAAGGAAGTGAGAACATACAAGCAAGATACAAGCCATAACCCTAATTTTCTTAAGGCAAATCAAGGAAGCACTGAAGTGGAAGAAATTAAAAGCCACACAGCTGAATTGTAGAAATGTAGCAGCAGAAGCAACAAAACAGGTAAACAAGTTTCTTGACAACTCCAAAGCAAAGATAGAGATGATGACCATAATGAAAGAAATGGTTTGTGAATCTAGAATAGATTCAGATAAAATAGAGGAGCTTAGAAAAGACATGACAACCACAAATGCCCAACATAGGAAAGAACTGGATTCCATAAAACAGACTCAGAGAGAAATCCAGATTGAAAATGCTACTGAAATTATACACAGCAGAGTCAACCAATGGAAAGATAGAATATGAGATTCAGTACACACACTCATATATATCACTGCCCCTGACTTTTTTTTTCCTTCTCTAAGCTATAAACAGGCTGGGCACTTCCCAAGTATCCCTCATTCCAGCCATGGATCTCTCCTGTGAAATTCTTAGTCTTTCTCCAAAGCCCTATTATACACCATCTATGTTGACATAACTCATTTCTTCCGGTCCTAATGATACTGCAAAATGGATAAATAATTTATCCTCCTCCCATTTTATTTATACCTCCATTTTACAGATGGAAAAACTCACAAGTAGGGGATTAAGTGACCTTTCAGAAAGGTCCAGAGGCAGAATTCAAACCCACCTGGAAAAACTGCCAGGTCTAAAACAGCCAGGACATTTTGGAAAAAGGCAGTTTTTTCTGTCACCAGCTCCAGTGTATTTCATCTCCCCAGCTACAACATGCTAGTCGTGCTGAAATACATTTGATAATTCCAATTTGCTCAACTAACAAGATTTCCACTACTATTAAATTCCTTTATCACCTTTTCCTCTCCTAAAGTATGAATACAGACTAAAAATGAATGGCAAAATGGTAAGAAATAAACTAATTAAAATTCATCCCTTATACTA